GCTACCTTCGGTGCCACTCGGCAAACAGTGCGTCGTTGCCGACCTTCAGGCACATCGCCGCGGTGAGCTGGGCCGCCAACTCGGTTCTGGCCGCTGCGAAGGCCAGCGAAGTGCCGGGATGAGGCGCGATCCAAAGGCCCCGCTTGATCTCGCCCAGCGCGGCGGCGACGGCGGCCGCGGTCCAGGGCGAGGGCCCAGGCGTGGATGGGAGCTCGGCCAGGCCGCGCTCGTCTGCGCACCTGTCCGCAGATGCGAGGCAGGTAGCGCCGCTGAAACTCAGCGGCGAGAGGGCGGGTGATGAGGGCCGAGCGGATGATCGCTGCCTGTGCCACGCGTCGCGCCGAAGGGACCTCGGGCCCACCCCGCTCGCGCAGGAAGCAGTAGTCCCGCGCGCGGGGTGCGCCGCCCGCGCGCCGGCGCATCTCGATAAGCTGCCGGATCTCCTCCGCGGCGCGGCATGCAGGCAGCGGCGCCGGCTGGGGGGCGCAGCTGAGCGTCGAGATCACACGGGCGTTGCAGAGCCAGGCGTAGGTGCTTATGGGGGCCGCTGTCGCCGCCGGCGCTGCGACGCGGCATCTGCGCCCACGTCAGGTCGCCACCCCGTTGAGAGCGAGGTCCGCCGACGACCCCAACGGGAAGCCCAAGTGAAAACGTGGCTGGGGCTCGCGAGGTCGCTCCAAGATGGGGCGGGCTGCTGCGGGCCGTTGCTGATTGGTGGCAGGATGAACGTCGCCAGGGCCCCCGTCGATCGACGGCAAAATGCAAGGTTCTTGCATTTTGCCGCTCTCAAGAGCAACGTCGCACGCTCGGCGGCAAGGCCCAGCGGATGTGCGAGGTTGGGCACGGGCCTGAGGGAGTAGAGGACGCCTCCGGCGTCATCGGCGCAGGCCCTGAACGCGCCGCGGGCGGCGGACTCCAAAACGGCTCCCAAAGGGGTGAGAATCAGAATCGTGGCCAGCGCGCATAGCTTGACCATGCAGTGCGCAGCCCTGGATGACGCCGCGCGCGAACACGAATGACGCCACCAGCATGCCGCCCACGGCGGCGGAGACGAAAGCGCACGGGCCACGCGCCGCCGCCAAGAACGCGGAGGGAAAGCGCAACTCCTCGAGGTTAACCGTGAGGAACTCATGCGACAAGCTCGGGAAGCCTGACCACCGACCTGGGGACTGAGGGGGGCGCTCCTCGCGCGCGTCGGGCGCGAGGGTGGCGATGCGAGCTTCAGCGTTCAGCTCCAGCACATCGTCGGTGAAACGCCTGCAAGGCACGAACACCCTCTGGGAGGCTGGCGCTCGGGCCGCGAACAGGGAGCTGATCGTTGAATCGAGCGTCGCCGAGATGAGCGCCGCGCCCGCGCTGCAAAGCCCTGGCCCGCGCATCGCCGCGAGGGTGATCATCGGCGCCAGGGCGATCGCCAACGCGAACCCCCTTCGGCGAGAAAACCTGCCCGGCGCCCCCAGAGCAGCGGATCAGTCGTTCTCAGCTCATGAGCCAGAGGGTTGCGCCGCGCAAGACCTCCGAGCACGATGGGGCGGCCGCCTGGGCGCGGCGCGGCGGGCCATTGACGCCAAGGGCCGAGCGCGCAGCAGCCACGCGAGGCCCCGTCTTGTTCATGAGGTTGGCGTTGGACAGCGGCTGATCGAAGTCCGAGATGGGGCTGAGGCGCTGCTTGGCGCAGCGGCGCGCCTCGCCGGAGTCAATGTCGCTACGCGTGAAGATCGGCGCCGAGGACCGCGGGGGGCATGCGGCCGGTCGCGAAGGTGTTGGTGCACTCGCTCACCATCCTTGTAGCCGCGTAATATCATCGTCTCGCCGAAAGGCGCCCAGAGTTGGGCGCGTCGCGCAGCGGCTGCGCTTCGCCGCCCCCCCCTGCCCTCTTCCCTGCGCGTCGCGGCGGTCTCGACCTGGATCGCGGAGATGTCCATCTCGGCGGCGCGGGGCGGACGCGCCCCGTCGATCCCTGGAACGCCTCGGGGCGCGCGACGGCAAAGACGTCGCCAACCGCCGACACGCGCGCAGCTGTCCCCGACGACGGGCCCAGTTCCTACCGTCAGATCTTTGAGCCGAACGAGTTTCGGCGGCGGCAATTTTTCAGCAACCGACGTTTCTTCATACTTAACCAGCTTCGCGGGGGTCGCGGCGCGGTCGGGTCTTTGGCACACCCCAGGCGGGGAATTCAGGCGAAGGGCAGCGCCACCTGGCTCTTGATGACAAGCTCGAGCGCGGCGTGGTCGGAGACGCCGCGGTCGCGAAGTCGGTCAGGAGATGGCGACGGCGCCTTTGACGCTCAGCTGGTCAATCATCCATGCATGCGTAGCTGTCCAGATCCGATCGAGGCAGGACAAGTTGCCCGTGTCTTTGCAGAAGTGGGCGGCGTCGTCCGCCGAGAGTTATACGAAGTTGTCGCGGGGCTGCTTCCAGCGCGCGACGCGGTGCTAACTCCAATCGTGCTTCTGGCGGGAAAACTGGCGAAATGGTCGCCGCGGATGCACGCGCGCGAACGCCGGAGATCATGTCGCCCGCGATGATGAGCAGGCGCTTGCTCGGGGCGGCTCGCGCCCAAGCGCCGTCAGTGGCGCCCTCGCAGTGCCGTGCGTCTGGCCCGGCGAGATGTCTGTTGCAATGGCGGAGCTCGGCGTCAGTCGTCTTGACGGCGACCTCCCACGCTCCCCCGCGCCAAGATGGCGGCTTTCGCAGCGCGGGCCGCCGTCGCAGATAGCGGTGCGATCGCGGCGACGCCGCCCCCACAGCGAGCCCATGCGCGCCCGTGGGCCCGTGGAACTCAAAACTTTCGAGACCGGGGCAATCCGATGCACGCGCGCATCAACGCGCCGCTTGCTTTGGCGGGCCCCCTGGAGGGCCGCGGACACAAGGCGGAGATCGCATTGTGGACGGTGGTCAGCTTCTTCGAGTCATGCTGCCACACCAGCGGAGATGCGCTCGAACGCCCAATTTCGCAGCGGCGATGCTTCTCTTGGTCAATGCCGAGGACGCCGCCCCCGCGCAGACCTCGCGTCGCAGCTGGAGGAACTACTCAAGGGCGCCACTCTGGTTGAGCATCAGGGCAAACGTCGGCGAGGATAACGTCGTGCTTCCAGGCGCGCGCGCCCCTTTTCCTTGAGGCTCTTGGCGTTCTAGAATGCGGTGGTGAGCTCGCGGCCTGGGCAAAGGTAGAGTCGAAGTAAGGCCGCCCATCCGTCCGAGACCCACCCGCTGCTGCGGTCGACGAAAAGTGGTTGCAGGATACAGCTCGCAGGGTCGAGCCGGAACGCGCTTGCCCTGGGCCTCGGCGCGGATCTGGCAAGTTGATTGGCCTGGGCCGACGCGCAGCTGCGTCGACGGGCCTTCGACGGCCGGGCAGGGGAAGCGGGCCCAGCCATCCTTGCACTTGAATGCGCCCAGCGCCTGCTGCACTCGACGCGCGGCGATGCCCGCGGCGCTCGCGAACTGCGCCGCAAAAAGTTTCGACTGCGGCTCGCACTCGATGTGGCAGGTGCCGACCAGGCCGGCGTCTCTGGGCCAAGACTCCAGAGACTGTGAAGCCGCGTCACGCGCGACCATGGTGGAGGCCGTGACTTTGAGGATTGTCGGATCGATGTCGTGCTTGAAGCTCCTGCCGGAAGGTCTAGGTGGAGGCGGGTCGCGGCTGGCGAGCGCCAAGTCCTTGCGGAGCTGCTCCACCTGCTGCTGAAAGTCGGTGAGTTGGTTTTCATGGTTGTTCAGGTTTTTGTCCTGTTCGCTGAGCCCGGTGCCGAATCTGCCCAGCTGGCCTTGAGTGCGCCTTTCGAGGTCGTCCAACTCTGGTTTGATGCGAGCAGTCGCCGCGGCAGCGGCCTTACGAGGTGCCGCTTTGATGGAATCTGTGAGGCGGCGGAGGGGTTCGTCGATGGGAACCACGGCGGCTTGGGCAGCAGCGGCAGCAGTGTTCGAGAAGGCGAGCTCGCAGTCCTGTCAGAACTGGCCGAGGGCCTCACGGATCTCGATTCGGATGAGCTCGCGCACGTGGTCGTCGTACCAGCTTTCATGCGCACAGTCCTTGGAACCTTTGCCATCGCTGCCAGCGCCCCTACCTGAACGGGTCCTGTCATCAGTTCCGTCGCCGCCATGAGCAATACCGGGAGCAGTGCCATCAGCAAGCGGTTATTCTTCTAGGCTTTTGATCCCTGTTTGATATTGCGGGCTCCGTCGGGCATGGGTAAAACAAGGCTAGGATCGGGATAAATCGCTCCAGAGCGTTCCAGAGCGCTCTCAGAGCGTTCCGGAACGCTCTGGAGCGGCCGCGGCGCCCAATACATCCTCCAAACCCGCCGATTCTCAGAGATTTCGAGTTATCCCGATCCGATTTTGTCCCGATCTTCGCGTCGTTTTGATGGGCCCTCCGTCTCAGCGACATAGCGGGCCTGGCAAGTGCCGACCGCCGTGCGGGCCGCGAGGGCGAAAAAGAGTCCCCGACGGGGGTGCAGACGGAAGGAGGCTGGCCGCGGACCGGCGGAGTCCACTCTGTCCCCTGGGCAGCGAGGTCATCTTGAGCCAAAGTCGGGGAGACGTAGGACTCGGGCACGGGGGACTCGGGTTGGCCGGACGGGGCCCTCATAAAAATGACGAGGCCCAATCTGAAATTTGACGCGAGCTCCCGCTGCAGACATCCCACGAAAACTGGACCGTCAAAATCCAGGACGCGCTCGTCAAAACAAGTAAGCAAACCCGAGTTCCGGCTTACTCGGGTCTTGCGTTTCCCCGACAAAGTGGCCACGGAGGATAAGGAGGGAGCCAGGTGGAGGGGTGGGACGGAACGAGATAACGACAACGAGGAGAGAAGAGGAGGGAGACGAGGAGCATGCAGAAAAGCACAATGGCACTGGCAAGAGCTGGATACCTCCAAAGTGAGTCGCTAGTCTCCTTGAAAAGCGCGCAAAGGGAAGGCTGCTTCGAAATGAGAAGACCCCGCAAACTTTCCAGACCTCAAGCGTACGAATCAATGCTCACGCGCGCACGCAAGCCTGTGGCATTGAGTATCGCCTCTAGCACTCGAATCAGGGTGTTGTAGCCCATATTCATGAGCTGATGGTGATACTTGGCCATCGCCACGGCCTGCCAGACATCAACTTGCTCTTCCCCCTTCCGTCGGACCACGAGCATTAAATGGGGGAACCGAACACCTTACAACAAACAAATAAACTGACCAAACAAAACACGTCATGTTTCCACGTGCCTGTGCTCCTCCTCCTACTCCGTTTGCTCATCCTCCTGCTCGTCTAGATCCTGTTACTGTTGCTGTCGTTGCATCTCATCCGTCTACATAAGCAACAACATGTGAACTCTAACCCTGCAAGTAAGATTTTCGAAACGCCGGCTGAAAATAATACTTCGAAGATGTCTGCAGCTAGGTGAAGCCAAGCGGACCGGCAGGGGTAGGATTCGCAAGTGATTGCAGACCACCCTCCCTACGCACGAAGTGGAGGGCATGTTGACGGCAAGCAGTGTATGCAAGCGTTGGAGAAGATGCAAACTAGAAGTCATGGCGCAACACGGACGGCGAGGATGACCAAGACAGAGTACGGGAGACCGTCTCCTCCTCCTCCTCCTCCTCCTCCTCCTCCTCCTCCTCCTGCCCTCCTCCTGCTCCACACGCCTACTCATCCTCGTCGTCCTCGTCGTCCTCCTCCTCCTCCTCCTCCTCCTCCTCCTCCTCCTCCTCCTCCTCCTCCCAGTCCTCCCCCTCCACGCGGAAGGTGGGCGACAAGAAAACCGACCCGAGGCGCTCCGAGCTGTCAGGGAACAGAGCGGCACGACGCAGTGCGGCAGAGATCAGGGGGAGGAGAGATGAGACGGTGCTCCAGATCCTTCAATAAGCACACACCCCGCGCCAACCTGTCCGACGCCCCTTGCCCGCCTCCCGACGTGCCCCAAACCCACTCCCTCTCGCTCCACAACCTCCCCACGCCCCTCGAAGGACGGCGGTTTGCTTCCCCCCCCACGCGATGACCCCCCCCACGCTTATTGAGAGACCTGGAGTATGCTCCTCCTCCACGTCCTCCTCCACGCGGAAGGTGGGCGACAAGAAAACCGACCCGAGGCGCTCCAAGCTGTCAGGGAGCGGAGCGGCGCGACGCGGTGCGGCAAAGCAGGCGCATACTCATCAGAGGACGCGCAAATGTGACGAGACGATAAATCAGGCGCCGCCCAGGGCCTGTTTGACAGGGCCCGCCGTAAGCGGTCGCGTGTGGCCACGCTTTCTCGCAGCTCTGTATGCGAGTGTGTCGGCTGCGTCTAGATGCGCTCCTCGCATCCCCGAGCCCGAGGGGGCACGAGGACGGCGCGAGAGGGCCCCAGGCGAGGGGGCAGCGGTTGGGGGCGGCGTGCGGGCTGCAGGGGTGTGGTTCGGTGGGCACCGCCTCCCTTTTTTTCCCTGGTGCTGCGCGGCTTGGCTCTCCCTGCCCCGCTCCTCCTCGGCCCCCTGCTCCTCGGCCTCCTCCTCGGCCTCCTCCTCGGCCTCCTCCTCCTCCTCGGCCTCCTCCTCCTCCTCCTCTGCCTCCTCCCCCTCGGCCTCCGCTCCACGCTTCTGCTGGCACTGCGCGGCCGCAAGCGATCGTCGGCACAGCTCCGAAGTGCGACGTCTCTGACAGCACTGCCAGGACCAGAGGCACCCGACCCATGCACTGGGAGGGGGAGTTGGTGGGCTGACGACATCGGGAGATGTCCTGCTATGCAGCAGCGTTTATAGCAGTGCGTAAGGGCTTGAGCGCTTCGGACCAGGAATACTAATGCCAGACAAGGGGACGCAAGGTGCGCTGGGGCGATGTAGGGCAGCAGCGTGTCTCAGGCGGATCGACACCGCTGCGACAATAGAGAGTGAGATTGCTTCAGGGCGAGAGACTTCGAGGCAACTGTCGTGTTGCCGCTCGAGCGCTGGGATGGCGAAGGAGGAGGCGAGGCTGACGTGGCGCTCCCGGGGGCCGCCAAGACGCCTCCCACGTGACCCCAAGAAGCCCCTGAGTAGCATCTTGTCCACGACCCAACCATGGTGGCGTGATGTACCTGGGGCCACTAGATAGTAGATAGTTGACTCTCCGTTTTTCAGGTTCAAGCCTGGCTCCTTCGTCTAACGGGCGTGGATGCAAAAAAAAGCTCGGCCTGGCCAACTCACATCTCCCCTCCTCGACAAAGCACGGAACGGGTTGCTCTGGTGCTCTCCAAGAGCCTTGGACGGGAACCCTCATGGGCAACACTGATCGAGAAATCAGCACTCTCTGAGAGGAGGGCGAGAAGGATGACCCTTGAGCAAACCCGGATCGAAAGACCAAGGAGCTGTCCGTCAGAAGCCAGAGTCGGAGTCGCTCAGACGCCGGAGCAAAACGCCGACTGGTGGATGGACACTGGAACAGCGAACGGACGGGAAGGGGGAGGGAGTCGGAGGGGCAGCAAGATCGGCTGGCGGCCTGCGCGATGGCCATCCCGACCATCAGAAAGCCCGTGCAATAGAGCACCAGGACCGGCGCCAGGCCGTGTTCCAGATCTACGTGAGCTTCCTGTGAGGCGAGCGTCTGGGGAGGCGCAGGAGCAATAGCCACCCATCGCTGACGTGAGCGCCATGACCGAGCTGGTGCTGCCTCCCCACATCCGCGCGACGGGTTCGCCGAAGCGAGTGCAGAATCGGTCAGCACCGAATTGGATCGAATCGAGACGTGTGTCGGATGAGACCGCATCGACACAGAGTCCAAATCGAATCGAATCGGCCGCGCCAGCATACAAAACTGCGCCTTGTAAGCATCGGGCCGCCTCGGATCGCCCGAAGATCGGAATCGGGCCAGATCGAGCCAGGCGGAATCGGCATCGAATCGGACCGATCCAACCGAGGTGGGCCCTGAGGGCTGCTGCCGAAGCCGCCTCGGAGTCGGCTTTTGCGTTGTCCCTCTGGCCCAGGGGGAGAACGGGGCCCTCGGGCATCCAAGCCCCGCTGGACGTGCTCCTCCTCCTCCTCCTCCCCGTGCTCCTCCTTCCTACCTCTCTCGAAAAGGTAGAAACATGCATGAGCATGAACTTTCGTGGGTCCGCGCGGCTCCAGCGCAGACTCTGGCACGCTCCGCGCGCCAGGGAGGGTAGTTCAGCGCGCACCTAAGAAATCCGCCAAACATTTATGTGTGCAACTGTGATTGTGTACGATTGTCCCTGCCTCCAGGATGGGATACGGGCATCGGCGAGCCGGACGTTCCAGCTCGGGCTGCCTGAGCGAGGTCCTGCCACCGCAGACTGATTCACACGGGGTGTGCGCGAGGGTGGGAGCACACCGGGCGAAAGATCAGATCTGACCGCGTGGACTAGACGTGAGCTCAGGTAGACTATACCGAATCGACTTGGCGTCCAGACAGGCTGCAGCGGCTGCAGCGCCTGAATGCGCCACATCGAGCCATCCGCCATCAACGGCGAGGGAGCACCAGTAAGTCAGCCTATCCGACGCCTGCTCGAGCGTTCTTCGGAAAACGGTCTGGAAATGCGGCGCGAAGGATCATGAGGAGCATCCCCACAAAAGGTCACGACATCATGTCAAACGATCAAGCGAATAAACCTTACGAATCACATCCCAACCCCCTCCCCCTCCTCCTCCTCTTCCGCCTCCTCCTCCTCTTCGTCCTCCTCCTCCTCTTCCTCCTTTTCCGCCTCCTCCCTCCACCGCCCGCCCCATGCCACGAGCTTGTGGCAGGGTCATCAGATCGTCGTTGTCGTTGTCGTCGTGGTCGTTGTCGTGGTCATCGTCGTCGTCGTCCTTCTGGGTCGGCGGCACCGGCCGTAAGGCCTCAAATCAACCTTACGCATCACGTCCCAGCGCACTGGGGACAGGCCACACGCCCGTAGACATATATCTGTCCGAACCATTCGACACGGGAAGTCTCCTGCGCTTTCCTTCACTTGGACACGTGTAACTCGATCAGGGGGCCCATGGAATTCCATCCCAGCGAAGTGGCAACGGTTGACTGTCGAATGCATAAGCGTACGTAATTTGAATGAGGAGCTCGATTTGGGCTGGGCTTAGTTGGGCTGGGCTGCGCTGCGGCTGGCTGAACTAAGCGGAGCTCAAAATTCGGCTGGGCCTCATATTGTCTGTGTTGGGCTGAACTGGGCTGGCATGGACAGGTCTGGGCAGGACTGAGCCACGCTGAGCGGTAAAGCTGGAGCGCGCTGGGCTGCGCTGCGTTGTGAGACTGGCTCGCATGGACTGAGATGGACTGAGCTGGGCTCCACTGGACCGGGAGGTGATAAGCTGGGCTGAGTTGGACTATGCTGGGCTGGGCTGCATTGAACTGGTTTGGACAGAACTGCGCTACATGATGGAGCTGCACAAGGCTACACTGCACGCAATTGTGATACTTGCTCTGGTGGACTGAGCTGGATCGAATTGGGCTAAATTGGACTGATCTGGGCTGAGCTTGGCTGATCAACTGTGAGTTCGATTCAGCTAGACTGGACAGAGATGACTTTGGCTGGACTGGGCTGAAGTGAACTCGACTCAGCAGACATGAACTTGACCAGGCTGGATTGATCTGGGTTGAGCTGGACGTTTGCCTGGGCTGATCACACAACCTGAGCCGGGCCGACGCTGAACAAGGGGAGCTGGGCTGGTCAACTGGATTGATCAGACCCGAGTTAGGCTGACGCTGAACAGCGGGAGCAGGGCTGGCCACGAACTGGGCCGGGGCGGGCTGAGCTAAGATGTCCTGGGCCGAGCAGATGTGATCGGGTGGACTGGGCTGGGATGTGCTGAGCTGGACCAAGCGCGACTGAGCCTGACTCGACATTTGAACGCCCGAAATGGGTACGGAAAAAATGGGCACAATGCCCAACAACAAATGCTGTCCTAAACCAACAGCGGCCGCTGTTGGGCAGGCGGCCTTCTGTCTCGAATGGACACAGGCCGCGGCGACGTGGACAGCGAATCCTGTTCAAAATGAACAGGATCCGCTGTTGGGCAGTGTACCCATTCTTTCCGTACCCATGTCGGTCGTCCCGAGAAATGGCCGAGCTGGAATCGTCTGGGATACATGTGGATGGCATGGGATGATCTCTCTGGGCTCAGCCAGCGCCTGATGCAGACTGCTGAGAGGTGTACTGGGCTGCTCTGGATAGGGATGCACGGACACGGGCTGGACGGAGCTGGACTGCCCAGGACTGAAATGGATTGGGCCGCGTCGGATCGTCGAGGTGTAGAAATCGAATCCCGCCAGCACTCTGGGCGTAGGTGGTCTACTAAGTTTTCTTCTCCAACCCCCTTCTTCCCCTTCGGGGAGGGGGTTTATCATTGTTCCCCATCAGTATGCACCCCCTCCCCGAGGCGACCGGCGGCCAACCAGAAACCATGAGGCCACCACGCCTGTCGACAAAACAATGCAAAACGCACTCTGTCTCCAAATTCGGAGCATGCGCAACGAACCGATGCGCCCCCCTCCACCATCCCTGTCAAAGGTACTACAAAGTACACTTTGGGGCAAAGTCTGGAGTCATGTTCGTGAGGCCCGCGAGCACTTTGTATTGCTTTTGACAGGGACGGCGGGGGTGTCAGCATATTGTCTGCTGTGCGCAAGGCTACCAGCTCAAACAAAGAACAATACAACATGCACCTCGCGACTCAATATGGATCATGCGCGGCCACCCCGTGATCACTGTCAAGTGGTCTTTGACAGGGATGGCAGGGGTGGTGGCGCATGGCCTATTGTGCGCAGGCCCACCAGACACAATGATTGGCATTGCTGTTCGACAAGGATGGTGGGGGCCGACATGCTTCCCGATGTGTGCTCTCACGTGACGCACCTGGCGCGGCTGGAGTATGTGGCACACCTGGCGCACGGGGAACGCGTGCCGCATCTGGCGCACCAGGCGCGCCTGGCACGCTCAGGCCCCAGGGGTGCGTGGCGCGCCTGCCACGCGTGGCGCACCTCGCCCCAGCGTCGCGCACATGGGCTCGGTTTCGGTTCCCAATAGCTGTCCATCCAAAGACGATCGCTGAGCATGCTCAGGCTCGGGTGCTACTTATGTGTTGGGAGGACGGGTGGGAATGGGCTAGAAGGTTTGCTATCTAGGGGGTGTCTTGATCACTCTTCATTATTAATATACACCCCCTCCCCCACCCAGCTGGCGGCCAGCCCGGAACCATGCCGACTCCATGCGGGCCCGCCCCCCACCATCCCTGACAACAAAACGATACAAACCGCACTCTGCCTCCACATTTGGAGCATGCGCGGCCAACACGATGCGGCCCTCTCCCCACCATCACTGTCAGAAGCCCCCACCCTTCTTTGATCGATGTCCTCCAAGATGGTCCCAAGAGCGTCCCTGAAGCTCCCGAGAGCGCCCCAAGAGGCGCCCAGACGGCCCCAAGAAGCCTCCCCTCAACTCCTCTGGGCATCGTTTCTGGATGGGCTGGTGGGGGCGCGCGAGGCGGCAACAACTGGATCGAGCCAGCAGGCGTCGATATCGAATCGGATCGATCTGATCGAAATGGGCCCTGAGCGGATAGAGAGAACGAATCGGAACGGTTATCCACGAAAGCAGGTCCAAGCCCTAACGGCAGGGCGAGAGACGCCCCTGCGGGCACGAGAGTCGAATGGGGGGGAAAGGGACGGGAAGGAGGTGGAAGAGGGGGGCAGGAGGACCAAATATGCATCAACGGTGCTGTGGTACACCTTCCCGTCCAGAGTACTACCTGGATTAAAATGGCCCCCGAGGCTGCCCAGGGCGCCCCACGAGGGCCCCGAGATGTGCCCATGAGTCCCCAAATAGACCCCACGAGGCCCCCAAGAGGCCCCCAAGAGGCCCCCAAGAGGCTCCCAAGGGGCCCCAAGGGGCCCCCCAAAGGCACCGAGAACGCCCGAAGAGGCAACTGGGACTGCCAAGAGACCCCCAAGACGCCCAAAGAGGACTCCAGGAAACGTTCGAACGAAATCCGAAGAGAATCCGAGAGGCATCCAAGAGGCATCTGGCCTTTCAGCTCGCCTTCCTCCTCCTCATCCTCCTCCTCCTCCTCCTCCTCCTCCTCCTCCTCCTCCTCCAATTCCTCCTCCTCCAATTCCTCCTCCTCCTCCTCCTCCTCCTCCTCCTCCTCCTCCTCCTCCTCCTCCTCCTCCTCTTCCTCCTCCTCCTCCTCCTCCTCCTCCTCCTCCTCCTCCTCCTCCTCCTCCTCCTCCTCCTCCTCCTCCTCCTCCTCCTCCTTCCTCCTCCTCCTCCTCCTCCTCCTCCCTCCTCCTCCTCCTCCTCCTCCTCCTCCTCCTCCTCCTCCTCCTCCTCCTCCTTATCCTCCTTATCCTCCTTATCCTCCTTATCCTCCTTCTTCTGCCCCTCGCCCTCGCCCTTCCCCTTCCCCCTCCTCCCGCATCCTCCCCCTCCCCCCTTTTTCCCCAACACCGAGCTTTGGCCCGTCGAGCTCGCGGACCGACTTGAACAGGGCAAAGGGCGGCGGGGGGCGGAGGGGTGGGGGAGGCGCGGCAACAGCAGGGGCATGAGGGCGCTCAGATAGATGTTCAATCCTGCGGACGAGGAC